CATTTTCTTGAGAAAATTAAGCAAACTAAAAAATACACAAATTAGCTACAGTTAAGTAACCTAGCATCACCATGTTTATTTAGTCCGTTTAAAAAAAAAAAACAAATGGGACGAGATTACTAACATTACAGAATACTCATTAAAAGGCTAAACAATGATTTCTGGAATAAACATAGAAAAGTAAGCTTACATACAGAACACAACTACTTTTCCGTTAATATGAATAAGTTACATGGCTGCCAAACATTGTAAACCAATGTACATGTCATACACTATTCCACAAGATTAAATTAATAGTTTCTTGAAAACGTATAGTCTTCTGTATTACGTTTCATATTAATTAAAACAAGGAAAAATTTACAAGCGGTTAATAGTTAAATAAAGAATCCAGAAGTCTTAATTTTGCTTTATTTAGAAAGAAACCTCGGACTGCAGAACGGAGCTGTGAAAATCTGGAATCAAGTTAGAAGTATAGTCAGCATATTCAGGGTGAATTAGAACCTACAGAGGCTAATAAACATTTAAAGAATATGGTGCCCGTATATTTATCTATTCAAAGCAATAATAAATCATAAAATAAAATGTTCGTATTTTTATGGCGCTCCCTTTTACTCATACATCTTAGAGACACGCTTATTTTAATTATTAATAATCAATCTAAATTAATTAATTATTATTAATTAATCCTATTCTGAATAGATACGAAAATTTAGTTCGGCATCCAGTTGATTTCAGTACTTGATTTTATGGTAAAGGTTTACAATGGAGTGCACCTTCATACTTTGGCGATTTTCATGACGCCAAGAAGGGCGCTAAAAGGCAATGTTTACAAGATAGTTGCCATTCAAAACAACGTCAAAAACGCGTGTTACAAAAACAACAAAAGTACTCACTTGGTATGTTCTTGGCTACGTTTCATCGTCATCGTCGGATGACCGCTGCACATACATAATGCTAATCATGTGGTTCTGGAATTGATCCTCCTTCTCCTGATTCCGGTATTGGTGACGTCACATAAACTCCGGAAAGTAGGAATACAAAATGTCATCCGACGACTGCCGAAGACCCCTCTTGCGAAACTTACTCTTAATGTGGCTCCACCATGCGCTCAATGGTGTTGATATTAGCGCCAATTTCGAACACTTTTTTCACGATAAACCCCTTCACAACCATCCAATTAATCCTTAATCTCGACTAGACGCATATCTTTCGTACAAATTTGACATTTATAACGAAAACTAATTAAATTTCCATTCATACACCAATCAGTTATATCTTTATTATTCTTTCGCTCCAAATCATGGGAAAAAAACGAGTATTTATCTTACATACGTTTTTTATGGAAATGACGGAACAATGATTAATTAGAACTGACTAATAAAACCAAAAGTCAATTAACGCCAATTAAAATTCTAATTATTGAAATTATGGTCAAAACTTAAACTACGTGATTTGTAGTATGTAATACCTGTACTATAAATCTCAAAACTAAGAAGTTCCAATCAGATTAAACTTGAAGAAAACCTTGGCACAAAACAAAAAAATGGCTGCCATAACATTGGTAAAACGAGTCGATTCTGGTTTACCAAAAAACCGATAACAGCAGTGGTAGTTGGTGCCAAATTAAAGGGACCACTTTTCTATACAAAAACCGATTTTATACATGCAAGGTACGAAAAATTGTTTGCGTGAAAATATTGCGGAAGCTCCGTGCGATTGCTCTGGAAAATATGCACCATCGCTAACCTACTTATGAATGCCTCCACATCTATACAGATAATTCCCTTCTGCACTTCAGTCAAGGAAGTAGGGCTGGCATTTTTTATGAACTTTGTTTTATCTATCAGCTGGAAATTTCACGACTCATTTTGATGGTGAACAGCAATCAATCTCAGCAACTCTTCAGCAACTTTCGATTCACCACAATTCCTCTGAGAAGGCTGTGATCCTCTCCGATTCAACATCTGCTCTTCGGGTTTTGTTATCTAATCAGAAGAATAAAAATTTCGCTTCCAGCAGTATAGTTCTCTGCTTGAGAGAATTCAACGTAAAATGTCTTTTCAGTGGGTATCCTTTCACTGTGCTATTGAAGAAAATGAGAAAGCAGATCTTTTTGCAAACAGAGGTTCAATTTTATTTCGGAAACCAAACAAAAATCTGCCTTTTCTTCGAAACTGGGGATTAAAAAAAAATCTTCAGATAGTCTTTCATACTGTATCTGATCACTCTTCCTGTAAAAAGTCCTGGTGTGCCCTTGACAACTATTCCCATCTTGTTCCTCGTGCAGCTGCGGTGGTCACTCTTAGACTGTTGACTGGACACAACTGTCTCCGTGCACATTTATTTCGTTTTAATAGTGTAGACTCTTCTGTGTTATTTTGTGTTCAACTGGAGAAGACATGACCGCTGCTCACACTGGTAAATGCTTTGAATCAATATCTTGTTTTAATTGTCTTACGGGAAAATATTGCAATGCCAACAGCCTAATTACTTTGTGGTTAATAGGCTAGCATTTGAAATTCGTAAATAAAATAAAATAAATATTTAGGGAAAAAAGCAATAGTTTGATTATTATTTAACAGGTTCTACACATACATTTCTCTCGACACACATTCAAGGCCCAATGCTGCCTGAAAGCATATTATATGGAAATTTTGCATTTTAAGTTGGCAAGTTAATCCTGTTCTGAAGAAGTAAAACGAAGAGAGCAATCAAAATTTATTTTTAAGAATCATATGATTAACAATTTTTGGATCTCAGTCTAAGAATTATATCTTTGCGGCTGTGTGAACAAAAAGTTATGATTTATAAGTTAAAATATAAAATTATTGATTTGAAATACTTATCTACTAAAATTTCTTTCTACTAAAATTTTCTTTCTTCTCTTTCTTTGCATTAATGAGACATAAAACTTAAACAATACATAACAATACATAAATATACAGATATGAATACAATAAGAGAAAAGTAAAAAGCAAAAAATGAGCGTTAATCATAGTTTCCCAGCTAAAGAGCAATGTAATGTATATATTAATTTATATTAGATTTCAGTGACTTCTGAGAGTTAAAACACTAAATAGGAAAATCAGCATGTTTCATTCAATTAAGTTTCTCTTTACTCAATCAACAGGTGTTCGTTTTTAATTAAATAAAACATTCTGTTTCAGCATATCAAAGGTGTTACAATAGACTGTTACTGACATTTCACTTTTCTGCCGCATTTTATAATGCAGATAAAAGAAAGGAAATTAAAGGATGCTCTATATTAGGAATCTTCAGCCCGTGGTCTGCCGGGATTTTTGGATAAATAATTAACCGTCTCAAATTCTTTGCTTTTCTTTAATTTTCCTTTCAGAGAAGTTTGGGAGATACGTTTGATAGTTATCTTCTCCTTCATCTCTGCTTTTGCTGCGGGTTAGTATATTTTAAGCGCTTCAACTTACTCGCTTTCTTGACTAAAATAAAGGTAAAAGAAACTCCACCCGAGGACTTTCTGATACCTTCATACGAATCTTGTTCAAAAGTATAGAGGAGGCAGGGAAAAAATTATAAAATTCTATTTCTTTTGATGTTGCAAGTAACAGGAACGGTAAAGGAACATGTGGATGTAAACGCCGTAATTATTTGGCGATAATCTGGGTTTGTACAAATATTTTAAGCTATGTTGCTCGTTTCTGATATTGAAATTCAGTTTTCGGTCTTGGAATGAATGCACAGTTGTCTTGGAATGAGTGTGGTAAGCCGTGATAAGTAAAAAAGAAGAAAAAAAAAGAAAGAAAAATAAAAGAAAAAGTTCGATTCAAGAAAACAGCTCATCTCTTTCATTTTCGTTCAGCACAAGATTTGCAATGAGACTGTAGCTGCAATGAAAGAATTTAACATCAGCAGGCATTGTGATACCAAGCACAGTGGGAAATATTCTGCATTGAGATTAAAGAGTCAAAAATAGTGTTAGAGTCAGCTACATGACAACAGAAGAAATTGCTAAAAGTAGAAAATCTTTTGTTTATGGAGAGTTTGTAAAAGAATATCTTTAGTGCGTAGATGATGTGTTTTTTCCGTCACAGTTTCAAGCTGTTTCGAACATTAGCCTGCCTGATATGCCAAAAGCGAGACGCGTAGACGATCTGACAGCAGATATATTCAGATATATAAAATACAAATGCAAAGAATTTTATTCTGTTGTGATGGATGGATCGACGGATGCAACACAAGCAGCTATTGGTGTTGATAGAAACTTCACAATTGCAGAGAAATTAGGTAGTGTGTTAGCACATAAAAGTACAACATGGAGATCAGATTTGTATTCAAATCTGAAAAAACATTGACTAACTGTGAGTTAGATTTCAGCAATATATCTCTCATAACCGGATATGGTACACCTTCTATGATTGAAAAGAAAGCAGTAGTAATAACATTACACAAATCCGGAACTAAGGCACGTGGAAAGAGTACTATAATGGCTTTCAACTATAATGGTATCGTTCAACAAGAAAATTTGTGCAGGAAGTCCTCAAACTGTGAACATGTGATGATTGTAATTATAATGTTAAGAATTAAAAACAACATACAAACGAATCGAATACAATAAGATTTCTTGTCATTATATTGAAAACTGTAATGATTATGCGAGAGTTTAATGAAAGATAAATGCTACTATCTGTTATTTTTATTTATTTATTTATTTATTTTCTCTTGAGCACCCGACGACTGTCCCGAACTTTTAGAAAACTTTAAAATATACAAATTTTAGAGAATTATAAGGAATACAAGACATAATTGAACATCCTAGACTAATATAACAATTGAATACTTAAAAATAGGAACAAGGAGTTAAAATTACGCATTATATAATACATGAAAAGCATTTGAGAGCACCGGACCGTTTGCCTTTTATGGCTGTTAATCTACGGGTTTCACTAACCGCGCTGAATGTTGTTTGCGAACATTATTTACAAAACAATAAATGGCATCGAAGGTGATGTGAGTCAATTTATCTGAAACTTAGTTTATGTCTTGATGAATATTTGGTTCGATGAACAAATGTCCAATTCTAGGGAGTTACAACATCTAAGGACTATAAACGATGGTAGAATGTCTGGAAGAAAGCACAGACGAGACAAAAGTGAAATTAGCTGTTGTTTAAAATATTTAATTTTCGGTTTTAATGTAATATTTTGGGTAAGTTATTAGAAGAGTTTACTCACGTAAACATAAATATTAATTAAGCATTCTATTATCTAAATTATTGAAAATAGTATATAGTATAGTGATTAATCCCTACTAACCTTTATATATCAAAAATATGCGAGTGCTAACAGTGCTTCTTATTCTGTCGTCAGTGTCCACTTTTTTAAGATAATATTCTTTATAAATGAGAGTATTTTGAACTTATAAAATGCTGTGACTTATTATTTTCTTAATAGCTTTTGATAAAACTTGTGTTATAATATACTGCGAATTTATATTTGCATGAGAAAAAATATTCTAAGCCTTTTCGTAGAATTTTAAACTAAATCACGGTAGGAATGAAGTTTATTTTAGGGACTGAAGTATGAAAGCTTCTTTTACATCTTTTCAGTTTATGTTATTATAAATATGGGGTTTTATGTATTATAAAAAGAAAAATGGGTAATTATTCTTTCAAATATTTTGATTAAGTGGTTGAGCAGAGCATTTTATGGAAAAATAATTGCCTGTGAATCGATTTAAGTTATTGAGTTAAAATTCAAATCTATTCACAAAAAATAGTAAATCAAAGTTGTATAAAAATTTTTGCATGAGTATATTCAGCATGAAAATATTAAGTAGGCTTCTCCGAGTTTCTATACGTTTTTTATTTCATCAATAAAATACATATTAAATTGAGAATTTTCTATACTTGTTACATTAGTAAAACATTTTATATTGCATTTTGTTAACTTTGTAGATTAACTTTTTCTTCATTTTAATTTAATTTATAAACATTTTCTTCTGTCGGATTAAGTAAAACATCTAATCTTATATTGAATGTGGGTTGTGAAGAAAAAGCTTCACATAAGAAGGGAGATTAGTACTAGATCCCTTTTTATTAGTTTTATTTAGAAAGGAATATTTTGCTATTTTTTTCCCACGATATTTTTATTCATCTAAGTAGAGGAATTCTGATTTTTTGCCTTTGGAATGCAGAATTTTTTCTTAAAAATCAGTGTCACTCTGGAATAAATAGGCTTCTGTCTTAATTTAAATTAGAAATTGGTGTGCTTGCTTTAAAAATTTAGTTTCAGTCTTGATAAAATTTTTGCTTGAAATCAATAAAAGCTATGTGATTAAGAGCTGAGTGTCACTTATGGAGTATTTCAAACATCCTTGTAATAAAAACACACTTCTGAATCTTTCTATACAACATGTAGAATTATGACTTTTTTCATTTTTGGTATATCAAGTTCAGCAGTAACTGAATAGCCCTTATGCAAAAACTTTTCTCAGCTTCTAAGTTATACTGTTATATATATATATTTATATTAAGAAAATAATGCGGATGTCAGTTTTTAAAAATTAGTTTAGATCATTCCTAGCAATTCAAGACCATGCTTTTGATAAAAATACAATAAATATTTTTAAATAGCATATATTAATTTAAGCCTTCAGCTGAAAGAAGAATAAAGCGTGCAAAAGGCCGAAATATTGAAAGTAAATTGATGTAACATTTTTACATGCTTTTTTTTTTTTTTTAAATTTTATTTTAGTATAATATTTTTAGGAATAGCATGGTCTTAAATCTTTAAGAATGATTTAAATTAATTTTTCAAAATTGGTGTCCTGGTGCGATAAAAATTATTTATCACATTATATTATGCATAAAATTTTCTGTTTCAGTGATAAACTCCAAAGTATTTTCTATTTTTTTTTTCCCATCGCCATTTTGTCTTCACGAAGTAAAGACATGTTTCTTTTCTTTTTATCTACTGAACACTTCTTCCAACAATCTACTAGCCGAATTACACTTATGCTAGAAATTTTATCTAACAAAACTGCTTAATCATGACAAACATTCACTGCAAAATTGGGAAAAAGTGCACAATACATACTCCTCACGTGTTTTTCAAAATAACACATACACATAAACCATGTACACGCCGACTTATTTTTACTTAAAAAAACATCCCAGAATTACACAAAAAATGGCATTGCGTAACTCTTCAATATATTATGTACACTGCTTTTTTCTCATAAATTAGAAAAATTTCACGAAAATACATGACAATTTTCTGAATCTTTAAAACCCGGTAAAAAGAACATATATGAAATACTTGATCGCGAAAAAGTTTATACCCTTTCCAAATATGAACATTTCCACATATAAAATAAATAAAATATCCAAAAACTTTTACCTCTAAATCATCTATTATATTATACACGTCACCAACGAATTCATACCGCAAGCATTACAAATACTTAGTGTCAAATATTTAAATTATTTCCATGCACGTTACTTCAACTTAAACGTATATCAAAATTCCTACAAACATAAAATTCACAAAATAACTATCATTTAATTAAAATATCACTAAACCATGTACGCGTCGACTTATTTTTACTTAAAAAAACATCCCAGAATTGCACAAAAATGGCATTGTGCACACCCTTCACTATATCCATGTACACTGCTTTTTTCTCATAAATTAGAAAAATTTCACGAAAATGCATAACAATTTTCTGAATCTTTCGTTAAACCCGGTAAAAAGAACATATATGAAAATTACCTGATCGCGAAAAAGTTATACCCTTTCCAATATGAACATTTCCCCGTATAAAAATAAATAAAATATCCAAAAACTTTTACCTCTACATTATCTATTATATTACAAACGTCAATAACTAATTCATACCGCAAACATTACAAATGGTTACAAATACCTAGTGTCAAATATTTAAATTATTTTCATGCACGTTTATGCAAATTACTTTACTTCCACCTTACATTTAAAACAATGCATAAAAATAATATCCTCAAATAATTTAAAATACTAACTTACCAATTCTTCTTCTATTCTTAAAAATTAATTCTTCCTATTCTTAAAAATACTATTGATTATGTGTCCGATAAACTTTTCTTATTTCTGTTTCAGGATCTTTAAAATCATACTTATAGTTCACACCAAGGTACCAGGTAAAATAAATAACTTAATAAAACATCTTTACTTCTATCTCGCACAACCTTAAAGAAACACTTATTACTACCCCTTTCAATCCCACTAAATACCCATTTTGAATTCACTTTAGTTAGGGCCATGGGATCCAAAAATTAACGAACACTGTTTCACACAACACACAATAAAGCCAAATACAAAATTTCCAGATTTTTTCCCGATTTCCCCCCTTTTCCGATTAAAGAACCATAATTCGTCCATTAATATCACATGACATATCCCATGATCTCTCATTTCCCTCACACAAAATAATGCGTAATCGGAACTGAGTACTGCTCACATTATTACCAAAGTCCCAGGTAGTAACCTTTATCGCCTCCAAAATGTTGCCGAACTACCAGTTACCATATTCTAAAGATCAGCCAAAACATTTTTCAGGTTTCCAAAGTTTTGACCACTTATGTATGTCGATCTGAAATTCCACTTGTTGGTGGAGAAGAGAAAAGAGAATAAGTGTATATAAAAATTTACTTTAAAAAATTTATCATGAATATGGTCCACATTTCATGAGCAAGCATTTAAAATTTTTTGAAAAATATACCACCACATGTCATGCAGAATTGCAGCTGTTACATTATAAATATTTTGTTTCAGTTGCATAATTGATTACTTTTATATACACAATTCTTAAAATACCCTCATAAAAAAGACGTTTTCAGGAGAAGATCTGAACTCTTTGGAGGTTGTAGGATGTCACTTCTGTAAGGAACCAATTTATTGAGAAACATTTCTTTAATGAAATGTTTGATGTTTAGTATTAGGACCATCCTGCTACATCCAGGCCCTCTTGTAGACTTCAAATTCTTGTAATTCAGTCTATTTTCTGATGGGTTTCACATATTTTTTGTTTCAGCAAGAGTGCGATCATCCTGCTTGTTTTGCATTTATGGTAGTAGTAGTAGTTTGTTCAGATTCTTTGAGGCATGCTTTAATTAACACTGGAGCATTGAACTAATGTTGTGTAATTTTTGTTGTAACTGATACAGGTATATGAGTTGCTGTTTTTTAAAAGTGTTTTGCATAAAATGTATACTGTTCACATTTGAAGTTTTTCATGGTGACTAAATTTTCTGGAAATGATATGTTGCTAACTGCTGTCTATATACCCATCTCAAGTGCTTTTTAGCCCATCCTGTATTTTTTCAAATCAGGTGGTTATCTGGCTTCGGTAAACCAAATTTTGTTTTATCGAAAACAAATCAATTAGTTTGGCATTTTTTTGTATAACTCGTAAATTCCCTGCTGTGAGTACTGTATGCACAAGAAATTTCCATAAACCTTATAATTCTTGTATTCTAAATGCCATGCCATTGAAATCATACTTTTGCATACTGAACCATAGGAGGTTATTGTACTTGATGCTGAGATAACTATACTGGAGCAGGATGAGGTAGAAGTGGGAACCAGAATTTCAGAATTGGTCATACAGAATAGTCCTGTTTCATTATCTGCAGTTCCACCCCTATTTTAAGGGGAAGCACTCCGGAGGGGATCTGAGGATCTTGCTTCCTTCTTTCCCTACCATCAATCTCTCGAGAGGACTTTAACGTCACCTTGTATTTTGAGTGCTTCTTTGCCACAGAGGCAGTATACACTTACAAACATCTGTGCCTTCTTGGGGATTCAAAGCCATGTCCATTGGTACAACAGTCAACGTCACTAATCACTACAGAACTGGAATAGCAAAATTAAGAAATATTTTTTTAAAACAAACTCTTGGGGATATTACAGAGTAATAAAATATATTATTTTGTTACCTTTTAGCAATTTATTTCATTGTATTTTTTTTATATATTTCATTAAGTTATTTGAAATTCGATGTAGATCAGTTCATTCATATTCAGATACAATCATAGCAGTGTTTATTATTAGTCTGGAAGGAGATTTAAAAATCTGTACTGTAAAATACTATTCTGTTTTATTAGAGTTTACAATTATCTGAATTGGTATAAAAGTCAAAATATTTCAGTGTTCTGCCAAAAAAAAAAAAAAAAAAAAAGAAGAAGAAAAGGGGGGGGGAAAACTGTTAGCATTATACATATAAAGTGTGACTATTTTTAGAGGAAATAATAAACATCAAGTTAAAAAACAATCAAATACAAGTGTTAGATAATTTACATACAAATGTGCCAAGAAATGAAAAAAAATTTAAACAGAAAAAAAATTATTTGTTTAGTTTTATTTGAGAATTCTTTAACAGCTTAAATTTAAAAAAGAATTCTTTGTGTTTATTTCTGCTGCCTGCTTTTAAAATTAATGGTATCAAATAGAATTTTAGGTGCCGTATGGTTACTTAACCTACATGAACATTCTATAAACATGTTTTAATTGTATTTTTCTTATTACATATATTTACACCAAGTAGTAAATGAAATATGAATAAGAGTATATGAAGTAATACTTTATTTTGAATTATCAGAGTGATTTTAAAAATGTATAGCTCAGATTTTAAAAAAAAAAAATAGAAGTGCATATCAGGTAACTAGGTATTTTGCTGTATGTGAGTGCTAAATCAGTACTTACTATTTCCTTTGTTCATTATATTATACTTTAATTAAGAATAAGTATTTATTTTATTTTTTTTTCCAGTTATTAGGGTTAGGTATCTTTATTGTTGGAATATGGGCATGGACAGAGAAAGACATTTTTAATAATCTTAGTCGGTTAACAAATATAACCTTGGATCCAGCATTTGTATTTATTGTCTCAGGTGTTATCACATTTACGATTGGATTCACTGGTTGTGTTGGAGCATTGAGAGAAAATACTTGCCTCTTGGCTTCTGTATGTATAGCTTTTATTTTTTCATTTGATGTATTTGTAATTGTAATTTTGATCTGTCTATCAATCTTTAGAGAGAATTTTTATAACTTTGATATAAAGTGTTTTTAATGACTTAAAAATAGAATATATTCTCTTAGAACAAAAAGATCTTATAAAATTATTTTACTATATTTGATGTTTTAATTATGAAATGTGTAGACCATTACGTATAGTTTATAGAGTACTGTTCTGTGATTGGGACTGGATTCAGTAATGTATGTATACATGTATGTGCATATATACATGCATGCGTACTTACATTTCTGAATCTAATCCTGATAACACAGCAGTACCATTTATAGTAATCAGTATTATTAGTAAGAAATTATGTATGGATATTAATCATTCTTATGGAACTAAGAAACTTTTGCATCACATAGTTAAACAGTTAAACTTCGTGGGCTTACTAGGAATAATTTTTCCTCCTGTCACCTCCACATCAGAGAGTGTCTGCCAAAGGAGAGTGTTATGTTTGAAATAAATGTGTTTTGCATTTCGATTTTAAATCTACTTTAATAAGAACACAGAAATATAATTAATATAAACAGTTATATATAATTAAATACAATTAATAAATTTGAGAATAAACAAAGTAAAAAAATGCTTAAGTCAAAAAAAAAATAAATAAATAAATAAATAAAACTCAAAAGTCATTAGTCAAAATTTCCTAAAGACATTTTGTTTGTGTGAGAAAACATCGCTAAGTGGTATTGGTTGTTCGTGAAATCTGGAAGCCGCTGTGGGAAATGGGTTTTTCGGTAACCCTAATGTTGATTGATAATGTTGGTAAAACTAGCCTTGGGGAAAATTGTGCGAATATCCCCCAATGTGTTGCGATAAATTGAGATTTTGGCTATTTTTTGTAATACTAACCCTTTTGTATCAACCGGGTTTTTTTTTACTCTTAGCATTTTCAATTGATGTGTTTGGTTTCATGTGCATTGGTGGTTGTATTTTGACATGGGTACCATAATTTGAGTATGTCTGATGTTGTGACTTTAATTTCTGATTGCTGGAAGGCATACAGTAGCCTTTCAGATGAAGGCTTTGGATACCTAACAGTAAATCATAGTCTGCAATTTAAGGATCCTGATACAGGTACCGACATTAATAAAATAGGAGGAACGTGGAGTGCAGTTAAACCCAGTTTAGCTAGGAGGAAAACAAAGGACAGCTTGGATTATTATTTGGCTGAATATGTGTGGCGCAAGAAGGCTAGGTGGGGAATCTGTTTATGGCTTTCTTGGATGCTATTATTCGTATTTATCTGCCATTGGCAGCGGATGAGCTGAATCGACCAAAAATCGAATTGAATTGTTACATGGAAAAAGGTTATGTTAAAAAATTGACGTTTCATTTATTTATTTGTCTCTGTGAGTTAATTTTTGTTAAAAGATTTGTTGTTTAATGTTTTTATGTTAGCCCCACCAGGAACATAAAAGGAAATGTGTGAAGTGCAGCATGAGCAGTCCGTAGAAATTTTCACATGTGAAATAAAATTGTGTATTTTATGAACATTTTCATAGTAATAGCTTTAAAAAAAAAGAAAAGGAGAGAGAGATTAGAGAATAAATTCTTTAAAAAAAATAACTTCTATTTTAAAGTCTCATATTTTTGCAATTTTTCAACTTTACAAATTTGTGAAAGTTGTGATTTCCAGAAAACCCTGGTGGGATGGGAAATAAGAAATATCATTTTCAGATTCAGCTCTTAAAAAATTCATAGGAATCAATTAAAAGAAATTAAAAACATGGAACAACCTAAATTTTGCTAGCTTATGTAATTGATTAGTAGGAATTGGGATTAAAATGTGAATGTGTGAGTAACAAGAAAATCCTGGCAAAATTTTGTAACATTTTCTGGTGATATATATATATAGTTTATAAGATTTTTTTTCCTTCTAAAGATTTATGTAGATATTTTGTGCCTTCTTTGCTGCTTATAATTAATGATATGAAAATAATACCTTTATTACAAAATTTAATGTTAATGCACAAATCACATATCACTGCTGTATATTTTACTATTTTAACTTTATATTTTTTAATATGATTGACATTTTATAAAGCAGCCCAAAGTGATTGGTTACATATAAAAATTTTCATTTGCATTCATGTACAAATTTATGTCTGAAATAAAATATTTTTAGATACAAAGTGTTCTAGTAATCACTTTAAAAAAATGTATATCTTAATATTCTTTTCTTTTTCAGTATGCAATATTTTTAGCTATTTTATTGCTGTTAGAGATGACAGCAGGAACTCTTGGTTTTATTTTTAAAGATTGGGTAAGTTACATATTTGTGTATGTAAACACTTTAACTGTATGCTCATTATGCTCTGCAAAATTACTTTGGAATCAAAGTTGATAAACACAATTTTTTTAATTTAATATTAACCTGAATTACTTTTCTTTAAAGTTAATTATTAAAATAAAAAGATGATTTTAAAATATTGCTCTATCAGTATATTATTTCTTTGGAAAAATTTTTTATATAGATTTTAAGCAAACTGCTTAATATTAACTAAATGATTGTAATTTTAGTAGGTTTTTAAATACAGTAGAATAGTTTAGTAGAATAGTTTGCATATACTTCTAATTGTATACTTTTGCAGTTCATGTATGTTTTCAGTTCTTCAGAATACTTTAGTGGAAAATAATGCTAATTGACTTTATGTTATCAGGAAACTTAAATTTCATTCATGTCTTATCCAGGCTGAGAAAAAATTAATTTCCTAAGAGAATACCCATTTTGCTTCACAAAATTTTATACCTTTCTTCATTTTCTGAAATTAATATCTGATAAAGATATAATCATACATAAGTTGCTTAATGCTTTATATTACACATTCCATTCTTTTCAGCAAACTGCTTAGCAAAATAGCATTTAATTAGCCTTTCCCTTTATGGATTAATATTGGAATGAAAGGATCTATCTTTAAATGGTGAAATACAAACTTTGAAATAAATGGGTAACAGGCCTGGTTTGAAGGGGGGGGATTCTTTTCCTAAAAAGGGAATATACCATGAAAACTAGCTATTGTGATTTCCATATTGACAGTATTTATAAAAAATTATTGGAAGACAATTTTCATTAAAATGGATTACCACATTTAAAAAATCTCAGTTTCAAATAAGAAAACTTGATTTTGAGAAACCTCTTTTACAATGCTCTTTTACAATCAGTGCTGAGTTGTAGATTTTACCCTTAGGTTATACTTTAGTTTTCTGTATGATCCATCAGTCATTGGGAAGGCAAAGGAAATTGCAAGTGAGCTGAATATGATTATGATGCATCATTTTCTGCTGCATGGTTCATAAATTTTACACAAGAGTATTTCTTGCTTTATTTAGCAGTTTTATTTATTTATTTATTTATTTATTTATTTTTGTGTGTGTGTTATTTTAAATTAAGAGAGTCTTTAGAGCATTTCTCACTATATACATATATATATATATATATATATACAGCTTCATATACAAGATTGTTCTATAATTCTTAAACATCTAAATAGCATACTGTGAGCTAATTGAAAAATTCTTTCTCTTAACATGAAAAATAAATTCCAAGAAATAAATTACTGTGATGAAATTTTTTTAATGTTAGTCTGTACATATCATCCAAGTAGGATTTTCGTAGGACATTTTAACAGAAAAAAAGTCTTTGGATAAATATAATATTTTGTGTTTTAAATTTTTTCTGCATGTTTTGCATAGTCTTAGCCATCATTTATATTGTTTGCAGATTAAAAACCAAGCTACAAATGGCTTCCAAGCTTTCATTGTCCATTATAGAGAAGATCCTGACAGACAGAATCTAATAGATTGGATACAAGAGCAATGGGTAATAAAATATGTCATATAATTTTTTTAATTGAAAATGTGACAGCTGTATTACTTTTCATGGGTACTATTCTGTTTTGAAGACCGTAAAAAATTGAAGCAAAAATGTATGCGCAAAAGCGCCACATCTAGCAAATGCGCCCATTTAACAGCGCGCCAAATCTCGCGTATGCCCTGATTTCAAATTGCGCAAGTTTAGATAGTTCTATATTAAGATGCCATTGAACTACTAGTTTAATTTTTAAATCCTTTTTTTGATATCCTATGTATTAACGATTTGGGAATTGCCCACGATGAAAAGTCTGTAATAGAATTTTTTCAAAGAAAAGGCATCATTCATTATAGAAAATTATGTTTGAACAACCAACGAGATGAAATTATGCTTTAGCGATAACTTGGTAGCAAAATAGCGATGCAGGAATCCATTCAATTATGTTTAGCCTATTTTTTTATATAAGTTATAATAATGATCTGAAATAGTTATTTACTCTTATGCTTCCATTATGTTTAGCCTTTTTTGTATAAATTATAATAATAAAAAAGCATTATATGAAATTAACTCTTCATATAAATTAAAACAATAATCTTTAGGTAGTTTCTTACTATACTTCCTTTCTTGCGTTAGGGTTGCCGCAATTATTTTTGGCAGTACTGGCATCAACAATAGTTTGGTGATTTTTTACAGTCCTCAAAACGGAATAGTACCCTTTCATGTAATCATGCAAGTTTTCATTTTGCAATAAATCAGTAATGAATTGCTTTGTGTTTTCATACACAAGTTTTGCATAACTTCTGTTAAATTTTTAGATAAATTTCAATTGTTTTAGTTTTGAAAATAATTTCTGTAATAAATAATATATTGGCAGGCAATCATTTGCTGGTTTTCTTCACTTAATAAGGCAGCTTGTCAATTTTAGATGAAAAAAAGAAAAAAATCATGTATTTTTTATTTAAAAAAATTCTATCTGTGTTATATGTAAATCTTCATTTAAAAAGAAACTGTAGTTGAATTGTATTACATGCTTGCCTTTAAATATAGTTTATAGTTATATGTAATGTAGAAAAAACACCTTTTATTCGGCAAAAATTGGTAACTTTTTTAAATTTTTGCTTATAATCAGGATAGTTGCTTACAAAAGTGGTATTTTACACAGTTGTTAAAATTCATAATTTACAAATCTATTTCACTTTTCAATAAATATGCAAGGGAAGTGAACTAATTGTAAAATGTTGTTATTTTGATGGGATTACAGTTATTAGACACTTAATCTTGTCTGCATCTATGCTGTTAGTGATATACTAACAAGACAGGTGCATGTTTTGTTATAGTAATTGATCATAATTTGCTTATTCTCTATGCAAGTTATAAAGCAATAAAAATGTCATGATTTCATGGAATACTCTTCATGAAAACTAAATCATGTTTTTCCATTGTAGTTGGAATGCTGTGGCATTGAAGGACCAAAAGATTGGGATATGAATGTATATTTTAATTGTTCTAGTATTGATGTTGGAAGTCGAGAAGCATGTGGAGTACCTTTCTCTTGTTGTAAACCTCAGCCAAATGTAAGGGCTGTTTCTATATTTTTTCAACTTTTCAAAGTAAAAGTAATTTTAGAATATTACATATTCATGTTACTCCTCTAATGTATTATTTTATTAAGGTTTTAGACATTTTAAAACTGTTAGAAAAATTATTTTTTAGTTTAATTTTATTCTATTACTGATCTAATTGTGTTGCCATCTTTTATCTCTTAAAATATTTAAATTGCTACATTGGTTGCATCCCTCATTTTTTGTGAATGTAAAAAAAGCTCAGTTCAATAAATTTGTCTCTCTGTTCACTTTGTTATTCTTAAATCTGAGAGTTCTTCCCCCTTTTTTGTTTTTGTTAAGTAGAGTATTGCTAGTATTGTTGTGTGTTATTGTGTATGAAATTTTCCTTTCTGATTGATACTAAAAAATTTTTAATTTAATGCTAACTTCATTTTTATGTTGATTCAACTATAGGTAATATTTATAAATTTATAAGTTGGAAAGGTAGTTGTTTTATTTATTGAAATTTTAGTAAAGTATTCAGATTTTGATGCACAGCTTTGATTTTGATATGCAGTTATAGCTGTTGTAGTTCCTGTCAATGGCCATGGAATATATGTTGTGCCAAACTATTAAAAAAGCAGTTTAACATCACACTGCTACGATTTTGTGCTATATTCTATGCTAAACCATAACTGTGCCATATTCTGAGTGGTGTAGTATTTTAATTATGCGTATATATATATATATATATGTATGAAGCAGGGATGTCCAACCTGGGAACTGCATACAGCCTCACAAAATTTTTTTAATATGTGGCATAAAATGTTGAGTGCTTTGAGATCAACTTATGTTTGCAATATCTTTTTTCCAAAACTGAAATTCACAAAACATAAATAATGATTTTCCCAAGTCACAAAAACTGCAGCGTCTGTTATATGCAAATACAAGTATTGAGATTGGCTTGAAAAAACAAGTGAAAAAAAGACAAACAAGTATCTCACTGATTATAGTAAATATAATATTTAATAGTTTTATTGATTATTATTGTTATAATTACTCATGTATAGTCATGAATGTGTAACTGCTGTGTTGTTAATGTATGAATAATAATAAAAACTACATTAATAATGTAGTCTGGTTTAAATTTTCACCTCAAAGAAATTTATATCTGTATATATTTACATTCAGTGTGGCCCAACAGAATAAAGGGTATTTCCAAAGTGGCTCACAAAGTGTTTTGGGTTGGACAGGCCTGATATGAAGAATTTTAGATAGTTTCTACTCATTCTGCTTCAAATTTAGCTAAAAAAGTACTAAAGTTGGATATTACTTCTATTTTTGAAGTATCATTTGTATCTTTTTCAGAATATTTCCAGTATTTATAAATAAATATCCAGCAATGTGATTTTGCAGTCATATTATTGGTAATGTGCTAAATCATATTTTAGTACATTTAAAAATTACTTAAGTATAAATGTAAATGTTTCTTAAAATAAGGATAATTTTATTTAAAATAGTGCTTTGAAATCAAATGTGTGATTTCTAGTTGAAATTTTGGCCTTCTATAAGCAAAAGGGAACGAAAGCAGTTTTTAAAAAATTGTATTTTTGATATAAAGTAATACTTGTATTTATTTAAATATCACAAAGATCAGTTTCTAATTTATAATGTATATATAGAAGTAAAGATAATTTTTTTTATTTTTTGTTTCAGGAAATGATTAAGAACAAGCAGTGTGGTTATGATGTCAGAAAGCAAGACTATGTAAGTTACTATGATATGTAAATGTGGCATTTTTGCCTTCCTTCACTTTTATGACATCCTTTTCCAAATATTTTTATATTTCGCACACGTTTTTTTTATTTTCTGTGAATACAGTGCAAACTGCTTGTAATGAAGCTTTTACTTGTAATGATATGCTTTATAAATATACTGTATGCCTACCATTTACTGAGTGGCTAAAGCTACAGAACACTGTTAGTTTGCAGTTATCATATTGAGTAAAGATGATAGTTTGAAATTTGTGAGGAATTTTTCCTGCATATAATATAGATGCAAATCATTTTTACTCAGAAAGCCCTCCACAAAGGCAGACTCACAATTGAGTACTAAAAACTTGTAGTTTTACCCAACTTTGATTCTTAGAAAGTGGATATTTACATGCTTGTTTTTGCAGCTTTGAGAATACAGGGCAGTTCCTGCTCAAAAGTTCTCTGCAAAAGCATCTCTTCTCTTAGGCAGACAGATCTTGTTTGTTTGCTATGAACGAAACAACAAAAATTACTAAAACAAAATTAATAAATCCTTCACAAAAGCCTTCTAGCATTATGCCATAACTAGTCGATTAACCAAGTATGTATTCTATTGAGTATAATAGTCATATGCATAATAGATGAAGATTTAAATATCACTGAGCAATTTAGTTGATAAATAAATTCACCATACTTTTTTTATGTAAATAAGCAGAGTATGTGAATTTTTCCTTCTGTTAGACACAGATGACACATTGTAGTTTTATTCTTATACATCCCTCCCCCAAGTAATATTGCATAGGCTAGCTCTTATCACTAATGTCTTTAATGGTTATTAAAAGGCCTTTTAAAATTATTAAATATAATTTTATATTGACAGTTTTCTAGTCATGCAACTAAATATGTTAAATGTTTCTTTCTTATTAATAACAGCATGCAGTAACTTGTTTCTTGAAGAAAAAAGTACTTGCTCGGGTTGTAGAGTTACTATAGATTTTCAAGGTATGCATATTAATCCTCTTAGCAGCCAAAGTTTGGGCCCGAAACCTTTAAAATTCCTTAAAACACCATGTGTAAGTTCATTTTGTTGATTACAATTCCAAAATGACCCTTCCGGTTTGTATCTAATCTTTCTTTCAATATATGTATACTACATTAATTGTTTGGACACATTTTAGGATGCATGTATGTGTATTTAAAGATAACATAATTAAAATGTTTGAATGCAGATATATGAATTGGCAGCTGGAGGTTAATTTAACTTAAAAACTTTATTATGGAATTAATTTGGTTCATAATTTAAAAAAAAAAAAAAAAAACCACACAGTAGATTTCTGATAATCCATAAATCCCTCTAATAACTGTACATTTTTTGGATATTAAAAAAAAAAAAAAAAAAAAGAATTCAATTACAGGGAACTTATCTTGTTGTAGATTTATCAAGTGTTTTTTAAATATGTTTATGTACAATATAAATTTTTTAAGAAAAGGCATTATATTATTATATATTATATATTTGTAATATATTTTGGCTGAAGAAGTGAATGTATTGTGTCATCGAGGTAATTAAGCATTTTCTGTAAGCATGCCAACACTCCTTTTTATTTTAAACACAGATAGTGAATCTGCAGATACTCGGCAATGCTTTAGAATTCCCATTCTATTTTCTGTCAGTCCAATGATATGCTCCTATCAAAGTCTTATAGCCTGGCAAAATATTTATGACTGTTTCAAAGGCATGCCTAGTAATCAGTGATATCAACAAATAGTGGTAGATAATAATAAATAGACTTTTAGTGGGTAGGCCACTAAAAGTCTTTTAACATGGGAATGAAGGTAGCGCTGTTATGCTTTGTGGTGGCAAGAGCCAGTGTCCAGGCATAATATCACAGCTGTAATGATTTATACATCTGTCTAAGATTAAACTGCATGCATAATTTTGCAGCAATCTATCTAGGTGCCCTCTCTTTCTCTATAGTCTTTTCGTTTTTTTTAAACCCCTTTTGAGATTATGAGAAAAGGGCAGTGACTATATTTGATGTATATTAACACATTGATTGTCGTCTATGAAAATACTCATAATTGGCAAACTGTGTTTACTTGTAGGTACAGGATAACTGGTTATTGATCACGTTCTAAAGTATTTCTCCCGCCTTTTCTTAGCTTGCCTTTGTGTCTAGTGGTCTGCACGCTAGGCAAGTATTCGAGAGGTCCATGGTTCGATTCCTGGCGAAGGCATTGCTCAATATTCAAGTCTCCTGCTTCCAAAAAATTCTAATGTCTCTACAACCTTACCAAAATGACCAAGTACATGTGTTACCATAGTAAATGTGTGGAATGTTTATGTGTTGGGCATGCAGAGCGAGACTAAATAATGCACTTGCCATACTAAAATGGATTATTTATTTCTCAAGACTACGAATAAGCGCCCACCAGCAGCCGAGTGTTAAAGTAAACACTGGTAGTTTGGTATGAGGTTTGAATCCCGTGAACAGGCTATCTGCATGGGTGTTTCCATGGTTTTCCCCATATGTAACTTGTGTAAGAGTCAGTTGTCCTTAGGAAGTCCTCGACAAAGGCATATAGCCCCTTAGAAAGTCCTCCCCTTAGGCATATAGCCCCTTAGAAAGTCTTCTCCTTAGGCACATAGCCCTTGAGACTTTGCTGTAATCAAATAAACCAAACCAAAACTATGAATAAATGTTTAAAACACAAACCTTTTTTTTAATTCACTTGGGAATTGTTTATAATCCAGCTTCTCAAATTTTTGTGCGGTGACTCATGTAAACCTAATGGATAGTAGTGCATTGTAGATGAGTTTTGCATGAATATGCAGAAAGGTTGAGTATTGCTTATCTAATTTTGAGTTATAACTATCCACATATATATGATAGGATCTTGGTGCATGTGAGCAGACATTCTTAATCAGCTTTGGCAGCGAACGTGTTAACTCATTTTTAAATTGCACATGTAATACTGTTATTTTCAGTTAGGCTTGATCTAATCTGAAAGGCCTATGATTGTTTCAACATTTTTCCCACATGGAAAAATTCCCTGTAATTTTATTCTTAATTTATATATTTTGAATATTGAATGAATTAATTTGTGATTTTATGTGTACGTTTGTTTCTGATAATGTAATCTTTTTATTCTATTTTCACTGATTCAATTATTCAATGATTTTATATGAGCATTTTCTTGAATAATTTGCTTTTATTGTCATAATGCTTATGTTGCTTCAAAGCCTTTTTTTAAAATTTTGCAGAATAATATATTTAAACTATGAAGTCTGGTACTTAGCCAAATTTCTCTTTTACTACATTCTATAATCCTCATTAATTCTTCTGATAAAATTAACTTCTTTGCATCAACTTTTTCTCATCTGCTGTATACTGCTAAGAGCATTGCATCAACATCTTTTCATCTGCTGTATACTACTAAAAGCATTGTATCAACCTCTTCTTATCTGCTTTATGATAAGAGCATTGTGTATTCTTTTTAATATAATTTTATAAATGATGTCTAATTGCCTCAGAGGGGGAAGATCGTTATAGATTATCAATTTTTTTTTTTTTTTGTTTTCCAATTTTTTCATAAATTTTCTAGATTTTTTCAGTGCTTAAAAATGTCATGATTACTACAAATTAATTTGAATCATTAGAAGGCTTCTATATAAGTAATAGGGTTTGAAAATATGCCAAAAAGTATAATATATATTAATCTTATATAACAAAACAAAATTAAGTAAATCATCTGCAAGACATGAAAAATGCTACCACTTTACAAGCTTACAATTACATTCTTTACTGCAGAACTTAAGGGATATGTATATATATATTATTGGTCTGCCTACTTGTTCTTCCTCTAATCTCTGCTTTTTAATTCAGATTATAAAATACAAATTTTGGATTAATAATCCATTACTGTAAATAAAGGAACGTGTCGTACAGTATTAGGAGAAAAAAATTATGAATGCGGAATTGCTAAATGTACCCTTAAAATCCTTAAAATGTTAATACTTTTATTATAACATAAAAAGTACAAATTAATTTTTATTGGCATTATTCTTAAAAATTCTGAAGGATAAATTTAATTGTTAATTATTTCTAAGAGTCTAATTGAGAATTATAGTGGTTTTACTCTTACTATGTAGTCATATTAACAGTTACTCCCAAATTTCTTCTATATTTGGACTTAAATGCTTAAAAAATGTAAATAAATAGAAGAAATAATAAAAATCCTCTCCTTATAGAATGTGATTTTATTTCTTTTATGTTATTATATTGAAATCTTAGAACAATGGATTCTTTGCTTGTATTTTCATATATGCGTTGTTCAGATGCTATGATTTTAGCTGCATGCTTTAAAAATTTTTTGCTTTTTAGTTTCTTTGCAATTTTTCCTTTATTTTTATCCATGCACCATTAATTTTACTTTTTGATGTATTAAGATTTCCTTTAAAGAACTGCAGAACTTAACATGCAGTTTGTGAAATGGACTTTTTAAGTTGAATAAATTTGTTTCTTTAATTTAACTGTATATAATCATTTTTGTGAATGATATCTTGTTGGTTAGCTATTATTTGGTGAAGTATTTAAAAAAAAATTCAAATTTTGATGCCACCAGACAGGCGATAAGTCAACAGTGATCTACGAGAAAGGATGCTTGCGTGCTGGCGAGGAATGGATAGAAGCTAACCTTGTACCGGTGGCGGGAGTTTCGGTTGGGGTTGCCGTGCTACAGGTAGCGCTACTTAACAAATTCTTAATGCTGTTGCACTAACATATTGGTGTGCTTCTTGTAAATAACCTAGTATTTTATGTTGTCTGTGTGGTTTAAAATAGAAATTTTCTTTGCATCATTTTACATTTTCTGAACAAAATTTTATGTGCAAATCAAAATGTTGATGTGCTTAAATCTCTTTCTTTTTGAGTATATCAACTTTATTTTGATTGTACCTAAAAATATATTTCCTTTTAATTAATGATGTGCTTGTATTATATGTAAAATCGCAAGGAAAATTTCATTTTATGTTTGTTTAGCTTCATAAGGTAAGTAGAATTATAAAAAGTATGGTATATGAATATATTTGAATCTCCAGGAGCGTGACAGGTCACGTGTCATATTTGAAAAAGGTTGCTTACAGTCAGGTGAAGAGTGGGCAGAAAAGAATCTGTTGCCCTTGGCTGGAGTTGTTCTAGCCATTGCATTTGCTCAGGTATGTGCTTATTTTTCGTGAGAGAAATGATTTAAATTAAACAGTAAAAGGTGTAAATTCTTGAAGTATGTTTTTTTAGCAAATGAATCAGTTACAGAGGAATTTTTTTCCAAACATTCCTTTGAATACAACAATTGAAAAGGAAAAAAAAAATAACTACCCTTTTTTTTCTTAAAATATATATTTCAAAACTGATTAGTGTCAAGTAGTAACCATCACATAAATTGCTAATTAAGCTGAGTAATAGATTTGATCTCTTTTTGTCGTGAGAATTTAAATATTGAATCTGCCACTAATTATAGCCCTGAATCCAATATGTAATTTTCCTATCATGCACAGATTTTGTGATGACATGTAGTGTAAATTTATTTGAGTACACATAAATCAAAGTTTAAGAAAGGAAATTACTCTAATTAGAAAAATACTGTAGTACCTTTCTCCCCCCCCAAAAAAAATACACCTATCAAATACTTAGTAGGTCCTTCACAAGAGCATAGGACATGGACTTGACAAATATGCTGGCGCATTCTGTAAGCAGTGAATACCTGCAGAGCAGACCATAATTTTGTTGTATCCTGAGATGCAAGATTTCTGTATTCACAATGCTATGGATTGCATCCCAGATGTGGTTGATAACTAAAATGTGAGGTGATCATTGCAAGATCCCAAACTTATATCAGTGTTTCTTTAACCATAATTTGTTGTCACTAGACATATCTACACTGGTGCACTAATTAAGGACAAAGTCGAAAAATTAGCCTATCAGCTGAACGAAGAGGCAGAGCAGACAGAAAGACCAATCAGGAGATTAAGTAAGGTGATGTACGGTAGCACATGCTCAGATATGCAGGTAGATGTAATGGGGGAGTGTCTGAGTAGTATAAAGCATGTTGTCGGTGTAAGATCAGTATTTCTGGCAAAGAGATTGCACGCCGTATAGCAGTTAAAATCACACCGAGTTGCTGCCTCAGCGAGAAATGGCGAATAATCAATCTGTTAGACGACATCTGGATGCTTTTACCCGAGGTCGAATCATTGGGAAGTTGGAGGAAGGCCGCAGTGTAACAAGTGTGGCTGCAGAGTTCGGAATTGCTTACAGCATCGTTTCACGACTTTGGAGAGAATTTCAAACTACAGGAACAGCTATATTGGGGGTTTAGTAGTGGTCGTCCATGAGGAACCACACCCGCAGATGACCGGTATATTGCCTTACAGGCCAGAAGAAACCGGCAGACAGCGGAAGAAATTGCTAGACACACGACACAGGCGACTGGACGACCGATATCGCGTTTTACCGTGGCCAGAAGACTGCACGGTGGTGGTCTGTTTGCACGACGCCCTGTACAGTGTGTACCTCTAACGCCTGCCCATCGGAGAAGGCATTCTCTGTGGTGCCGGGAACATCGGAATTGGAGAGAGAATGAATGGGGACGAGTACTCTTTACAGATGAGAGCAGATTCAGTCTGAGTAGCGATTCTCATCGCATACTCATCTGGAGAGAGCGGGGAAGCCGCAATCATCCATTGAACATCATTGAAAGGGACAGGTATGGAGGTTGCGGTGTTCTCGTTTGGGGAGGCATCATGCTTGGTAGTCGTACAGACCTTAACATCTTTGATGCAGGTTCAGTCAACGGGACCTGTTATTGTAATGAGATTCTTCTTCCATATGTGTGTCTTTTTAGAGGCGCTATAGGGGTCCGCAGTTCCATTTCATGGGTGACAATGCACCATGTCATCGCGCAGTAGCTGCCGAACAGCTCTTAGATAGTGAGGATATTGAACATATGGATTGGCCGGCACAATCTCCGGATCTCAATCCCATCGAGCATGTATGGGATTTTCTAGGCAGACGCTTGGCAGCTCGTACCTTACCACCAGTAACGATTCCGGAGCTTCGATTGGCGCTGCAAGACGAATGGGCAGCAATGCCTCAACAACTCATTGACACCCTCATTCTCAGCATGGGCAGACGCTGTGAAACCTGCCTAGCAGTCAGGTGAGATCATATCCCCTATTAAAGACCGGATGTTTCGGCCTTCAGTTGCATTGCACTCCATGCTACTTTTTCAATAAAGCTTCTTTTTATCCCTCTGATTTCTCTTTTAGTAAGTGTTGCTTACATGACTCATGTCCTTACCTATTGGGGATCTTACGGTATTAAATGTGTTGATTTGGAAAGCTTTTGTACAAAGTTATATTGAAAAACCGTCTCATCCTTAATTTTTGCACACCAGTGTATATGTACATGGTTCTGTTAGAAGAGCCCAAACCCACTGTAATTAATGCTGGGCATAAGTGGGTATGACTCATTAGAAAGGATCCGCAGTAGAGTTCAACTCTTAGAAAAGTGTGTAGATTTTATGGATTATGGTGCCATCTCTAATCTGTACATCTCTAATCTGACTCCTGTTGACCTCTAGAATCCATGAAATCATGAGGTTTTTCACTACACACAAATTCTTTCATTTGTCCAAAAACAGTTAGAAATGAAACTGGTAGAGGTGTTTAGCAGATATTTGTTTCCAGTCATCAAGTGCCCAGCATCCAAATTGCTGACCCCAGGTAAGCTGTGTAACTCTGTGTTATACATTCATCATGCATGCTGTTGTTGGGTATCAACCCCTGAAGCCCTTATAATAATGGAAATTTTAATTCATAAATTATTAAAATTATTGATAATATCGATGAAAATTCGCTTTGGTGAGCTTGTTTTGCATGCCCACAGTATTCATATTAAGTTATGTTATAGTTTAGCTTTACCATTGAAAAGTATAACAATTTTATGGAAAATAGTGATTAAATTTTTAATTTATCTGATGTTTTGATTCAGTGTTATTCTATCTGGAACATCTTGCATGCTTGAACACTTTGTGCAGGCGACTCTTGAACAGTACTGGATGTATTTATTTCAATGTGCTGAGAAATCACCTCTAAAGAGCAAAGGTTAAGAAATGTAATTTAAAATATATATGACAGTTATCTTAACACAAATTTTATTTTAAGCCATATGGAATATTGGTAAAACAAAAAATTATACAGCCCATGGTACTAAAAACAAATGCATCTTAAATTTATTCCTGGATATACTGAAGTCAAATAGATGCCTGGGATATAAAGCATCTAATAACTCACCTTTGCAGATCTATGAAGTCTTAGAAAATAGCTTTACTGCAGTGTTCATCAAGTTCACTGCATGCACAATATTGAAAGCTTGAAGCAATAAAAAGATAAAATTAAGAAATGTAAAATGTATTGAAGATATATATGGGATTTTTAAAAAGGGAAAAAAAGGGCTATGAAATCTTGGTAACAAGTTAAGTGGCCTAAACATATTGTTGCGTTCTACGGTTTCATGGATTTGGAGTAACTGAAGATAACACTCGATGAAGAATTGGAGCACAATTTATTTGCCAGTATTACCCAGGACAGTTCCAAAGATACTTACAGTCATCGAAAAGCTAAGGTAAACACGCTGAAACAATCTGTAACAGTAAAGGCAGCTTCTTGGCAAATCACTAAAGTACAACTCCCGACTCAGTTGATCGCTCTCAAGCTAATCTCTGAAATCAAGACACTGCTACAGTACTGAATTCAAGTTACTCTTCATGCTAAAACTCGCAATACACTGCTATTTTGCATATAGGCAAAGTTTATTTAGCTTTTGACCTGCGCTCAAGAACATTCTTGGGTAAACCAGTAAGAATTCTTTCTAGTATGTTTTTGCTCCATCTATGGCATATTTCCAATTTTGTTGCCAAATGGGCGATTTCACATCTAATCTGGCAACCCTAAACCCACTTTGCAGGGAAGCTATCTTACCACAGCCGGACATTTTGTAACAATACGGTTGATAGACATTTTCCATCATTTAGCACAGTGTTAAAATGAAGTAAATCCATGAAATCTGTTATATGCTACATTTAAGCAATTATTATTGCTTGAAATTTGAAAGTAATGGATGCTCCATTTAAAAATGGTTTTTACATGGGCTGTGTATGCATTAATGTGTATGCAATGATTCAGTGTCATTAGACATTAAGAATTTACTTGCTTCAAGTAGAGGTTGATACAAAATTAACATTTTTTTTTTTTTTTTTTTTTTTTTTTTTTTTTTTTTTTTTTGTTTGGCACATTGTTTACAAAAGTGAGTGAGCAAAAGCTATCATATTTGATGTATATTTTGCTCTGATTATAGAGAAAGTATTTGTGATATAAAATTAATTCCCGAAATTGCTGATAGGAGGGAGACTTTCTATGAGATAATCTGAATAATGTAAAATCATATAGTATCATGTAAAAAAAAGAACATGAGACTATCTAATTGTAATGAAAGTTTTCCAACAAAAAACGTTCTTAATAAAGTTAGAAAAAAAATTAAAGCAGTACCTGTAGTGTGGGTAGCAATCACCATACAAATCTATGATTTTCTGCCAAGTTTGGGTAGTTTTTCAAAATCTTCAGCCCAGAAGTTTGGTGGCCACAACTCCCAAAAACAAATCAACCTCATTTTGGACTTCCTGTGGAGAGTGAAAGATAGCACCAGCAAGATGTATGTGCAAGTGTTGAAAAAGGTAGAAATCCAAAGGAGCAATGTTCGGCCTGTATGGCGGGTGCGGCAAAAGACCCCATTTGAGTCTGCACAGAATTCAGATGGTGAATGTAGACACATTTGGTCTTGCATTATCTTGATGGAACATTACCTTTTTGCATCAGAACTCAGTTTGACATTTTCCCTTGATAGCAGCATCTTGCTGTACGCCTTACTGTCGAGTGTTTTACCTTTTTCCAGATACTCTTTGTGGATAATACCATGGCATTTCCACCAGATACAAAGCATGATCTTTTTGTTAGTCAAACTCCGCTTTGCAACGCTGCTGACAGGCTCACTGAGTGCAGATTAACCTTCCTTTTCAGCCTGTGTTGTTGAAGTAAGTTCACTTCTTTTCATCACAAGTGATGATCCGGTCCAGAATTTTGACCTTGTGTGGATATTCAAGCAGATTAGTGCAGGCCTGAACACCTCTGTCCTAATCTACTTGAGTCAGCTAATGTGGCATCCAGTGATTGAACTTGTACATCAAGTTTATGCGATGCATAGTGCGACTAATGAATATGGCACTGACATCTAACTCCTTAGTAAGCTCTCAAGTGATTGCATACTGATCTTCTACAAGTTCTTCCTGGCAGGCTTCATCAACATCACTAGTCTGGACAGAGCACTCTGCTTCTTGAATGTCATAGTCTTTGTTTTTGAACTTTTGGTAGCAAACCTTCATAGTGTCATATGATACAACATTAGTACCTAAAACTGTATACATTATTTGGTGATATTCTGTAGCTGACTTTTTGGAAGTAAATGATGGTTCTGATCTGGTAGCATGATAGTTCCATTTCAGACACCTTGTACTTAATGACAATGATATATTTTTTACAAATTTCACATGTTCTAAAGCAAGTCTCTTTCCTTCAAATGCCAAAAATCCCAAGACAAAATATGATTAAATATTTCAATGCAAACTGTTTGTGCAGACGTTATTTGCGGTGGCAGAAAACTTTCATTAAAACCTGATATATTCTTCAGTATTTGTAATGATTTTATCAGCATAAGTGTGATTTGTATTTATGAAGCATTATTCTATAAGTAGGCTGCTACTGAACATTATGCATAATGATGCCTTAAAAACTTTGTGGGTTGGTCCTTTGGCACTGAAATTGGTAGGATGTTTTTATAATCTTTTTGAGTAGATAGGCAGCTTAATTGTTTGGTCAGAGAAGACAGTTAACTGAAAATAAAATATTTTTCAGCAACTGTTATTGAGCAGTCATGTGAGAATTTGCATGTTTAGATAGCATTTTGCCCTATAGCTTTGCATTAGAAAATTTTATTCATAGCCATGAAGAGAAAATTGTGTTATATTACTGTACATGCTGAATTAATGACTTTTCAGAACTGAAACATGGAGATCCTTTAACCTATGAAGATTTCATAATAGTCTTGAAATATAAAGTAATGGAAAACCTTTTCTGAAGTACTGAGACATACTTTTATATTTCTGGAATCATAAATGCATGGAATTTTTATGTTTAGGCTTCTGAAAGTTATTATGTTATGGAAAAAAAATGAAGAATTTTTTATGTGGCTCTTGGTGGGGTTAGTAATTAATTTGGACCAGTAGCACATAGTTATTTCAGCCTATGACCTACTAGATTATGTTGTTATTATACGCCTTTGTATCACTTTTATATTCAGTCCATTACCAAGAACAGTCAAATTTTTTATAGCTTTAAGAGTAAAAGCAGCTAAAGTTTTCAAATAACTGTCTAGTTTATGGCAGATTTCCTCTTTTAAAAACTAAAGTGTTGATAAAATTCAATACTATTTTTTACTATGGTTCTGGTAATAATGTTTATTGGGAAATTTCATATATCATTAGAATTGACTGTTCCTATCATTTGAATGCATATTTATTCAGAAAATTTCATTTATAAACTACATTTTATATTTATGTAAATGTTATGAATTAATTCTATTAATTAGTACTTCATACTAATGAAACTTATTATTACATAAAAATATAAGATTATATGCAGTCAACTCCTGATTAACTGGGACCCCACCAGTGGCTAAGGAGTTAAGACTGAATAGTGGTAGTTCAAATCCTGGCTTGGGTTCAAATCCAGGTGAAACAGGCAGGCTTCATGGTCGATTTTTGTTCTTTGCTCCATGTGTAATTAAATACCAGGCAGTAACATAAATACCAGGCAGTTTGTCCTCCCTAAAGGCATCCCTCCCCTGACGCAGATAGTCCTTGTGGCAGATGACCTAACCTAACCTAACCTGATTAACTGAGTTTTTTTTTTTTTTTTTTTTTTTTTTTTTTTTTTTAATTATTTATTGCAGAATGATGGAAAAATTACCATCAAACAAGTGGAATAAAGCAAAATTTTTATAGTAATTACAAAAATGGGAAAAATTATATGAGATAATAGCAACATGTCACAGTATTCAGGAATTGCTTTCATCCATAACAGTAGATAATTTAATTGTATGTATTCTGTATTATATAAATATTGTGAAATTATTGATTAAACGTAAATTACTAAATCTTAAAAAAAATTAAGTGTACAGCCATCAATCTTGTATGTACATTGATTTTGTCAAAATACAAAAGGAAGATAAATAAAAATATTGTTCTTTCTGTTTAGAAGCATATTCTTCATTTTTTAAATGCTGATTTAATTTACGTAATCAAAGAAAGGTATTCTCCAAATTAAACTAATTAAAAATATAGGTAAATTGTTAATAATGATTTTCTATTAATGATAATATAGGTTACTCCTCTTTCCTGTGTATTTTTACTGCTGTCGGGTTAACCTTAATTTGGGGTTAATCATGGATGTTGCCCCCAGTACTGCCTCAATTAATTGGGAGTCTACTGCATTTGGCATAGCAAAATTGTATGCTGTGATTTTATTTTTCAGGTTTAAATTTCTAATCTTAAATTGTTTTTAGATTTTAGGTATATGCTTTGCCCAGAATTTACGAGCCGACATTTTTGCCCAGAAAGCGAAGTGGCACTGACAAATAATGTCAGCAAGGTCTCACCACCTTTGCTGACAAAAAATCAAGAATTCAATCAGTGTGAAACTTTTTGAGTAAAATTTATGAATACTGTACAATTTCAGAGAACTCAGTTTTGAGCTCAACTGCAGCCATACAGCTTAATTATATTAGGCAACATGGCATTTTCCTGACAGATTTTAATTACCTTTTGCTTGCCCTATGATGGGTGTAAATGACTTCTCATTGTCACGTGAACAAATACACTTTATCAACATAGTGACTGAAATAGCAGCTGTTGTGCTGGAAGATACCTTTTTGTACAGTGTGGTTTATTTAGAATTTTGCATTAAATTTCCTGAAAGAAACTCAGCATGGTCTGTAACTGTGATGTGAAATGCTGAGTCTTTAATATTTAATTCTAGACATAACAAAGACTGACTGATAAACTTGGATTCTGTTGAGAAGTAGTTTTATTTTCTGAAAAGAAAGAACAAAAGACACTTAAAACAAGGTTTGTTCAGAAAGAGGGGGGAAAAGAAATTTCTTTAAGCTTTTTCATATGTTTAAGCTTTTGCTGATAATATTGAGATATATGATTGACATGCTGAAAAGTTTTGATGTTTATTTTATGTATTACAATCTGTGAAACTGTATTTACAGTTTGTACTTGATAAATATGTATTTGTGTGTATTTATTTTTATTTTGTATAGCTTCTGAAATTATATTATTTTAATGAATATTTCATGGTCATTTAATTAATTGTATTGTCAAATTAATAATGCTATGTAAACATGTAATTTAAAGGATGCTTTTGCATTTTTCTAGAAGATTTCAACATGCATATGAAATTAATGGAACATGTGCATATGATTGAACAACTATTTAAAAATTGTACTTTGCACATTATATTCATTATTTCATGTTTTTAATGCAACTTTAGTATTTTGTATTTTAAAGAGTTAAAATTATAGAATGGTGTATTTGAAAAATTCTTTCTTAAATCAAATATTTTAAAACTTATTTTTAAGTCTGAAATTTACTTTTGAATGTCGAAAAAATATAACAAATGGCATTTTAGTTAATTGTAGTGTGCAATCTACTGCTTTTAATTGATAGTTATTTTTTAGATCAAGGTACTAAACTTGATGTTGTTTTAATCATTTCCTTTTTTCACTCTTTTATCACATGCTCAAGTTTAAAAATAGCATTATAGTGACACAATCTCAGAAAGAAATAAGTAACTAAAAGTGGTGAATGATTACCAAATTTTGTAACTAGTTTAACTATCTTCATAATAATACAAATGTAATCAACATTTCCATCATTTGATATTTCCAGATACTTAATAGAGACTCAAAAAGGGAAAAAAAATTAAAATAATGTAGTGGAAGAATTTTTTAAATTTTAGACATAATATATTTATTTATTTTACTAAAATTATATTTAATTTTTTGCATTTTATTTAGTTTAATTTAAATTTTGCTCTCCATGTATTTTTGAGGACCAAATGGTAGCTAACATTTGCTTTGTAAAAACCATATATAATCATGCTATTGTGAAATTTTCTAATTTCAGGTTGTTTTCCTTTAATAAATATGAGCAATATGAACAATATACTATGTAATACCAGCACCTTTATTAAGGTATTTCAATTATAATTAAATACTCATATATAATTCGTTTTTATTTCTATGAATTATTATTTGCATAAAATGTTAATGAATATCTATGCTTGTATGAGTTTGCATTTAAATGTATTTGAACATATTTTGGAAAACTTTATTAGTATTTGCCAAGTTTTTCTGATTTTTAATTCTTGTGTTGAATTTTAAACAACTTTTCTATAGTGGTTCCCAATCTGAATTTTAAACTACTTTTCTGTGGTGGTTCCCAGTCTAATTACAACTTCAAAGTTATATATCTTCAATGAGTGTGTCTGTAATTTCTGTTAGTTTTTGTTTAAGTAATTTTTTGGATTAATTTGTTATGCTTTACGTTCATTTGTATATTCTTTTTTTCTTAAGATGCAGATCAATGATAAAGCTAGCTCAAGATTATAAACTTCAATTAAGTCATGAAAAATCAAAAGCAAGACAAATTACCAACTTTGTAGGTTCCTTCAGTAACATTAGGAAATACATTATAAAACCGAGAAAATGGTAACTTTCACCGTTGAAAGGCTTTGCAATATGGAAGTTAAAAATGCCCAGTAAACGAAATAATTTTTTTATTTCAAATTGTCATAACTTTTTTCAATGAAATATTTCACTTTACAAATTTTAGGACTTTTTGACAAAGATGTGATGAGCAGTCTTTAAAAAACACTGCCTGTCTATATCCTGTGCATATATTATCTTACCTATTATATGCACTTCAAGTATTGCAAATGCAAATAGTATAGATTTTGTAGTATTTATATTATTGATTAATTGCAATTTCCTTAGCTTATATTAATAATAAACATTTATAAAAAGTAAAATAATGTTTGTAAAAGAGATATTTCTTCAAATCTAAAAAACTTAATGACTGCATTTTAAACAATTTATGATATCTCATTATTGGTCATCATATTATTTATTCTCATCTATAAGAACTTTACAGAAGAAATTTCAGATAATATAGGATATACAGATTAGTTATAAAATATTCCCAGATTTTTATAATGCTTTTGTAATAAGAAAAAATTTAGAATAATTACAGAAAAACCACAATTTTTTGGCAACTTTCTCGACAAATTGAAATTTGCAAACTGTGTTGTATTCTTGACTATGTGATGCCTTAGCACAGTGTTGGTTTACTGGCAGCTTAATTTGCTGTAAACACATCATTATGAAGGTTATAGCAGCTATCTTAAAATGCAGTTAAATTTAAAACTAAAAAATAATTATTACTTAATGTCTGCAGCTTTTCTTCTTTGGAATATTTTTGAATTTTTTCCAGTGCCAAAATTATTTTTATAACTGTTTCAAAATTTGTGCATATTTATACTGTTTTAATTTTATCTAACTAAATTGTTATGCTAGAATTCTACTTCCAAGCTTTATTTTAAATATGCTGTATTTTGAAAACAGATTTTTTAAAGTTCTTTCATTGCAAAATTTTGCTGTTAAAAGGTGACACTGATCAGTAATATTGCAGTATTTTATAATTTTAGTCTTTCCCCCAAAAAAATGTTTCTGCTACTATATGTTGTATAATAAATGTCATACGGCCAGGTTATTTAATAAACTAAGCTCTTCTCTAATTCTTTTACTCAAGACTGGATACACAAAGGCAACTTTTTGTTAATTATATATCATTTTTCAAGCAAATTGTTTGCCTAGATTTTTTTTTTTTATCAGAAAGGTTAGTTAATTGAGAATTTTATTTCAAGTCTCCTAAACCATTCTTGAAGTTAATGAATTTATTGCTATGCAGAAATAAGTAATTTCAAACATAGGAGAAAAAATTATCAGTTAAGTCATATTGTTTAAAGGGCAGATTTTATTATGAAGATATTTTAAATAAACTTTTTAGTCTTTCAAATATAATATCTTTGTATCTAGCTTTAGGCATTTAATACAGATACTGTTATGAGTCCATAGCTATGCTGAGTCAAATTGTTTGATAATAATTCAGAAATATAATTTTCAAAATGTTAGTATAAAAATTATCATACTACAAGACATAGAATTATTCATTTTAATTTTTATATATTCAAAATTCTTCTTAGTCTAAGCATTTTAATAATCATTTGGGAATTTTTCAGTAGTTCTGATCAGTTATCTGAAAATTTTTAAGTGCAAACTGTTTAATACTTCAAATCTTGTGTGATTTATGTAATTTATAAAATTAATTTAAAATTCGAATGAGATTAAAATGGTTTCTTCTTAAATAAGATAGAATGTTTAATATATCATTATTTTAAATCTTTGTTATACAGCATAATTTTACTTGCAGTTTCAAACCTTCAATCAAAAAATAATTCATGAGAAGTGGAAGAACAAAATCGAAACTTCTAAAGAATATTCAGTTTCAGTAGTAAATATTAGCATAAACTGTTTTAAGAAGAGAATCACTTTATACTGTGTTTTCTTATATTTTTACAATAATTCTTAAACAGAATTTCCAAGCTGTAAGTTATATAAAATATTTTCAAATCTCTAGTATTGTCAGTTTAGTATGGCTGAAGTAGAAGTTTTAACTCTCAAATGTAGGGAATTATGAAGATTGGAACCACTGTGCTTATGTTGTTTAAAATCAGTACATATTTTATACAAATATTTAAAATTTTATGTATTCATATTTGTGCTTGTCTTAGAGATGTATATGTATGTAATATCTAGGTAATTGTAGACAGTTTCAAAGTATATTCATAGTGTAAATATGTGGATGTATATATGTGTTTAAGAGTTATATATGAAAATGTAAAAGTGCAATTTGTCACCACAATGCTTGGTAGTAAGCACATTTAGATATTTAGGTGTCTGTACATTTTAATAGTGTTACCAGTATAACACTACATCTGCACAATGTAGTTGTACATAAAATTTTAACCTGAGAACTAATAGTATTTTGGCTTAAGAAAATATTCATAATCTTTTGTGATTTCCTCAGTCAATTGCAATATGAATTTAAAATGCATAATTAATTAATTGCTCATATTTTTTAGAATCTTTAAAGTGCATTTCAATCTTTCCAGTCTTCTCCATTTAAATCTAGAAATTCATGTTAAATTATTCATTTTGAATATAGTCTAAAAGTATGGATTTTGTGGTCATGAGTACCTGAACAAATGTATTCTTGTCTGCTGAAAGCTATAATTTTTCTCATGATATTAAAAACTTCTTTTGAGATATAGAATATGATTATCAATGTGTAAATGTCGTTACTTGCGAGTCTGAAGAATGATATGTATGTACATGTGCTAGATCTGTTAAAGGCATGTCTTTCTTGAAAAATATTTCAAGTATTTGTAATGTGAATGAATGTATAACAGAAGTAGTACCTTTTATTTCAGCTGCCAATTAAATTTTGTTTGTTTTTGTACTTTTTTTTTTTTTTTTTTTTTTTTTTTTTTTTAAGTTTTACATCCAACTTTCAGTTTTTAAAATATTCTGCTTCAGTAGAGCAATGTTTAAATAAAATTATTTAATAAAGTAGAATTTTAAATATAATATATATAAATCATATTTCTTCAGTAGAAGACAAACATTTTGATAGACTTATTAATGGTAGTGTAATGTTAATTTAATAAATAAAGTGGATACTTATTGATGATAGAATGCATGTTATATATAATAAGCATGTGTAGGAACTATATATATAAGAAATTAATGAGAAATTTTTAAAAAAATTAAAGAATGGAATAGCTATTTTCATATTTGGCAGGAAGACAGATAAATTTTGTTAAACTTGTAGTAGTTTCTGGATTTTTACCTTGCCTTTTGTTTTATGCATATTTTATTACACTACTTAATTTTTTCAAGTGAGTTTATATAATCATATATTAGTTGAAAAGTAGAAAGTCAAATTTTTAAATAAAACTCTTTTTGTATTCAGCTTCATGTAATGCAAAATAAATAAATTAAAAAAAAAAAAAAAAGATTGTATTCATTTTAAAACTGTTTTTAAAAAAAAAACTCTGAATTTTAAATTCTCTTATGTTCTTCAAAAATGTCACTATGGAACTTAGAAAACAAAAATATTAAAATAGTTGATAGATTTCGCTGGTGTTAAAGAATCTATATAGTATGATCAACATATATTAGGTGATGTGTGAAACACTGATAACATTGTAAATTATAAACAAAGTTCCATAATTATCTGATTACTAAAATTATTCCATAAAGTGTTCCTTCATTTGATAAATAGTCTTATTTAGTAATCGATCATGACAGTTAACCTCCCCAGAAAAGTTGTATTTATTTAAAATTTACTTTATTAACTTTTCATGATTTTGGATGATAATTTATATTAGTTTTTTGTAAACAATTAATTCATTAAGTTCTAAATTTTGCTTAAAGATTTTTCTAAGAAATGTGTACTGTTAATGAAATGCTCATTTTCACTTTTTACATTTAGTTAGTTAATTTATTATGAAATTATATAATTTATTGTTATGAGGAAAAATTCCTGTCATGCACTGGTTATGCGTGCTAGAAGAACTGTTATCATGACAGTCTTGTAATGCCAGGACTAGAACATGCGATAATTGGTGGTGTTTTGTGCTCATGGGTTGCAGTTTTTAAGTATACTTAAATACTATACACTTATTATGAGAATATGGTGGCCTATATAAAGGAATGTGCATCAAAACTGTGGGAATTTTATTCTGTTCATCATATAGCAAGTGTTTTAGTTCTTTTTTATTTAATTTTCTTTGATAATTATTATTCAGAGCATATACTTGTTTCTTCCTATAAATCTAAGTATAATGGAAGTAAATTATTTTAATATTAAAAAGTTTTTTCTGTGTAAAGCTATTTTTGCTGATTTAGAAATTTATTTATTGCCAATTTTATTAACTTTTGATATGTTTTTCATTTTTTCAGTTATTATATTGAGTTTTTAATGTAATGCATACTTTTTAATTAATTTTATTATATGTTTTAATTTTATTTTTTACATTCTTTGTTACAAATGAGTAATTTTTAAATAAGAGAGTTTCTTATTTGATGCATAAATTGGCCCCCCTTTTTTTTTTTGGACTGTATATTAAATTTTCTCTATTGATATTAGAATAGGTAAAGTTTCACTCTATTCTGAAAGCATATTGCATTGAATTGCCATTTTATGCACATGAAGAAACTGTATTTTTTAAATGATGTATTTCTTTATGATGGTGTTTATTTCAAGATTGATTTCATAATGAGAAAATTCAGTAAACATTTGGCCCCAAAAACTAAAAACATGTTAGTGCAAATTCTATGTTGTCTGCTAATACAAGACTTGTGTTAGAAATAATTTTTATTTTGTAGCCACATTTTGCTTAAAATCCCTTCTTTGTACTTGCAAAATTGTATTTAATTATTTCAACAATTGTAATTATTACAAAATGAAAGTAAATTAATATCTAAACTAAAAAGTTTTTAAACCCAGAATTAATTAAATATTAATGAATGATTCTTGATGTCTTCTGAAATATATTTTTCTGTTTAAAATTTATCAAGAGTAACTTTAATATATATATATATATTGATGTTTTGTTTTGTTTTAAGTATTAGGGGGGGGTTGCTCTATTTAAGTTAGTTTATGCTTAAAGTCATCTTATAGTATCTTTCAATGAATTGATCTTTGCCTTTTCAGAAGTAATGGAGAATTTCTTTACTTATTTTTAAGATTTATATATTAACAACTAAATTTTAGAAATTAATAACCCATTGTTCAGGTCACAGTGACATTCAGTAACAAAAGTGTTTGCATTTAGACAAAAATTAGAGTATTTCCTTTAGAATATTACCTTTATAGAAAAGTTTAATGGTACATATTGATGTTTGAGAATATAAAAATGCACTTAAATACATTATTGCTATACATACACTAATTGTTATAAATACTCCACTGGCTGTTTGATATATAAAGCATATTGATATGTTTCTTTTTATTATTTTGTGTATAAATGCAGTAAAATTCAATTATGCAACTGATTAAAAATATTGGAATTTATTTAAATTTAAGTGGTTGAATATTACTTTTCATACATGTGGCTGAATAAGGAAATTCTGCCATTCTTTTTATGAGCTCTACAAGAAAACACATGAGCTACACACACATGAGCTTTACAGGGATCATTTTAGAGATTGCATTATAAACATTTTGTCAGTCACTTTACTTGAAAATTAAATCATTTTGTTTAAAAGACTTGTCTCTCTGGATTTCACTTTTAGTTTCTAGTTACTGTATTTCGTAGAACATTTTTACTAGAAGTGTTGGTCACCATTTATTTTGTAAACAGGTTAAAAGAATAATCATTTCTACACAATTATTTTCATATTTTTATGAAGAAGTCTTTTTGAATTACCTCAGTGCATCTTTGCTGAAAAAGATTCTACTTAATTTTTTGTTCATTTTCTTATCCTGTTATTTTATTCTCTGTTGAAAGGTGTTTCTTCAAATAAGCTGCTAGTTTGCAGAAGCGCATTGCAAATGAGTGTTTTCATGTGGCAACATTTTAAAGTTAATTTCTTTTAAAGTTCTGAACTTTAAAATAAGAAATTAATAATATTCCTGAAATGGATTCATATATTCTTGTATTCTAAAGAGATCTAAAAATATTCCGGATAAATCTTTATTTTTCTTCAAATTATCAGTAACTTTTAAGACATTTCTTTTACTGCCATTTTCCCAAACTAGTTATTATGTCATCTATAGTTAAAACATTGAACCTGGTCATGTAAGATATTCATTTTTATATATATATAACATGTGCTTTTTACTCCAAGTATTTTAAATTTCCCTTAAATTAAAACCTAAAATTAATGTTATATATATTCTAGATAATCTCTTCAGGTGCATCAGTTAGAAGTTTTTATATTTGATTTCCATTTCATTATACAGTATTTTAAATCACTCCAAAATCTGAAAGCATGTATTTTGTTAAAGAATTCGTGTGCACTAATTTCAGTGCAGATAAGTTCTTTATAAAATGTGTAGGTTGGTATATTTTTTGTAAGGATTTCATATAGAATGTTGTATTGATATGTAGTAACCATTAAATGAATATATTTATGTGGTCCTGTTATTTGCTGTGTATCAGATATTAATATTTTCTTAGCAATTCTTTTATTTTAATAGGTAGATATTGTATAACAATTCATTTCCATTTTGTTAAAAAAATTTTCAATGTGAAAGGGTTCTTATATTTTACAGTATCTAATTTAAAAACATAACTTCCTTTTATCTTCCTATGTCGGTGCAGCTATAGATGTTTTATTTTAACAAGATTGTACATTTACAAATTTATATACATTATTTGTGTTGTAGGGTTTGATAAGTGACTTAATATTTGTATAACTTTTACTTGTTTTAAGTAAGTAAATTTTTTTCACCAAACTATTTTAGTATTTAATGTAATATTTATTATGCTCTGTATTGTTCGGTTTTTCATATTTTCATTTCCCTTGTTCAGTCAAATATGGAAAGCTGCTTTATTTAAATGAAGGATTAATTTCTCCATTTGGTTGTTTGTATACTTGATTATATATTTATTTATTATGTTCTACAGTTACTGCTAGTCACATTAAAATGTTAAAATTTTAATAGTAAGTTGTACCCTGTATGTGTTCTATTCTGTTACATGGCATTAGCAGCAAAAATTTAGGTTGTAATTTTTTTTATCCAAAATTGTTGTATTATTAAAAAATATGTACTGGATAGCTCTTTGCTTATATTCACAATACATATATTATCTCATTATGTTTTAAATGCTTGAGCTGTGTATATAAAGTGTAATTTATTTATGCATTTTCAGAAAAGAACAAAAAAGAATTCTCGCTTTTGCGTTAACAAGCTGATGTTTCTGAGCTTTTTACATTTTTCAGTAAAGTTAACTTTTATAAATGGAAATAAATAGTTTTTTTTTACAGTGAGTCGTGTTATTATTTTTGTGCATGTTCCACAAGGGAATAAGATTTTAATAATACATGACTGATATTTTGTTTATATGTAATGGAAAATATATAAATACAGTAACCATTAACCATATTCAGCATACTAGAAGTAACTAGATCTGTTGTATTAGAAGATTTGGATAACAAGTGAAAATCCCATTACTTAAAAACTTCAAAACGGACATCTTTGCAAAAGTAAGAATGGTTGCCAGAGCCTCGAGGAGGGCAAAAACACTTTAGAACAAATTAAAAAAAAAAAAAAAAAACTATTCCTCATCCAAATCAAATACTTGAATTTGTTAGTATTGGCCATAGGTTGCTGAAGTGTTAGATGAGAAAACATTTAATCTGTTAATTCTAGAGTTCCCCTTCTAGGGATAAAAAGAAATACATGCCTCTTGTAGGGATTTAAAGCTCAGTTACATGTGGTTTCTTTAGATTGGCTATTTTTAGGCCAAAGCACTGCAGTACTTCGAAAGGTGACAGGGAAAGTCTTACAAGCATATTGGATAACTGGGATTAGAAAATGCACTCAAAAAATGTCTCTCTGGTTCTTATCCCAGTTTTGATTGAGGTTTTTCTATTACACCTCTACCCCTAGCATCAACGTTTTGAGAGGATCATGTAAGCAGAAAACGCTACCAAAGCTGTGCTTACTTATTTTTTCATCTGAGGCAAGGAGTCAATGTGTGCCTCTGTATGCAGCCATTTCAAAAAGAAAACTTACAACCACTGATACCGACATATGTAAATATATGTAGTACAAATTAAATAATATACGAGGGCTATCCAGAAAGTAGATTACGTTTTGGAATAAAAAAATAAACAAAGTATAGGAAACAAATTTTATTATATACAGATGAAAGCCACACTCAAATACTACTTTTCTACATAGTCACCATACAAATTAAGGCATTTATCGTAGCGATG